CATGTCATGGCCCTCCTGCGGTTGTGCCGCGCTAACTCAGTGCTCTCTGAAGCCGCCGATTGGCAAACTGTGAAGGTAATGGATGAAATGTCGAATGATGACGCGAGAAAGTCACGCCAACTGAAGAGATTCACTCTCAAAGTAAATTTTGAATAATTGTATCACTCTTCTCGCTTAAACCTTGAGGTTTTTAACGGTTTTCAAAATGTCTAAGAACACTTTAAAAAGTGTTTAAAAGTGAAGCCACTTTCAAAAGTCTCTGAATGATCAGTTCTCCTCACCAGCTCACATGGATTGAGGTTAGCATCGGTTTCAAGAACCCGACTTTTCCGTGTTCACGCAACCCTAAAAGAAGTTTGCCTATAATCGAGATGACAATTTGAGCGGCTTTGGAGTACGAATAGTTGCATGCAGTAGTTTTGCTACTTACACTTAGTCCTGGCAAGGGACACACGTCTGTCAATAACTCATTTTAATGCGTGTTTCTCAGCCGTCGACTCTGCCTTCAATAATTTTGATGAAAATTTGAGCAAATACAAAATGCAAAATAAACGCAATATTAAGGGTTTTGCAAAGAAGCAACTCAACATTAAAAGGTTATAGAATAATTTCTTTTGTATCTTCCATTTTTTGTAGTTATAAATGATAGGTGCAATTCCTTGCAAGGCACTATTTCCAAAGATTTCTTGTTGAATTCCACCAGGAACTCATTCACTGTCTTTTTTAAAATTTTATGTTAAAGGCCTCTTCAGAAATCCCGCGATTGCAATGTAAACCGTATAAGACCTATCTTAGTAAATGAGTTGTTTCAAGAGCAAATGTGGGCACGTAATACGGCCTTAAGCATCGGGGATCGATCCAAAAATTTCGGTTAGTCTAAATATGAACAGTGGCCAGAGGAATGCGGAGACGGTGGATATGATAAGAAAAAAAGTGATCCCGTTTGATGAAAAAAAGAGTGCAAAAAGTCCTAGTATTAAAATTCTCCCAGACACTGCTCGGTCTGCACGGTGGTCGTGAAGCTTACGAACGATCGATCGGTCGAATGTATAAAATTTTACCATGCAAAGAGAGGACGCTGCGCGTTGCAAAATCTCCTCCAATAATGATTCATTTCCTGAAAAATTGTGTTTTTCACTTTGAATATCCTTAGTAATTTGATTCACAATTTTTTACAGTGCATCAGAAAATTTCATGGGAAAAAATCAGTACATTTTCTCTCGAGTTAATGTTTTTTTGAGGGTGGGGGGGCGGGGGGCTGAACCTTATTTGAATACCTACACGGCGTGTTTCCTCAGCACCGCACGGCAGCAGTAAGTTCAAAAATTAAGTGCAGCTCTCTCGCGGTGTAACATGAATCTCAAAATTACCGACATGTTCGCACCAAAGACAAGAGACGCACCCCCCCCCCCTGGCATCTTGGGAATGGTGGTAAGCTCTTTCTTTCGGGACTTCAACATTCAACTATGGTGTCCCACCTACTGGGTGGATAGTTGATAACGTGCTGAGAGTTTCGCTTTGTAAACAAGTCGAATTTTGGGAAACTTTTCCGGCTCATGACGTCACCGGAAGCTCGTCATCCATCTTGTATGTAAGGAAGTTGCATACTCCCTTCAGGGCCGGATGAAGAGGGTGGCCACATGGGCCGCGGCCCATGGCGGCAAATCTAGGGGCCGGCAAATTTTTGCAATTTTTTTAATTGTAGGTACAAAAAAATCGGATTTAGAAAAAAAAAAAATACAAACGAGAAAAGGCTACAGAATCTCTCATTTCCCGGGAGTATAGTAATTTCTAATTTTGTCGTCTTTCAGTGATACAAGAAGCAGCACCTTTATTCAGTCGAGTTAAGAAAGAAACCAAACACACAATTTGGCCTGGAACGGCGCGACTTAGGGAGAAATGATGACGAGGACTTGAGTTGAAAAGGAGAAGCCCTCAGCGCGGCAATCGGCATGTAACACATATTAGCGCCTACAAGACTGCACGAATACTTCACGCATTGCACCAAACACAGTGCGGTTATATTGTGGTCAGCGTGAAACGGATACCTACAAGAATGCATGAATACTTCACGCATTGCGCCAAGCACAGTGCAGTCAGCGTGAAATGCATAGCGCCTACAAGACTGCGTGAATACTTCACGCATTGCGCCAAACACGGTGCGGTCGGCGCGGCGCGGCGGAAGTTAAAATCATTAAACCAAATTTTGTGTTTGTTCTTTCATAATTTTTTCGTTCATTTCTTATGAATGGAAGGCCTTGTTCATTAGAGATAGGTTTACGAAACTTGACTTTCGCGCAAAGTTCTGTGACCTTTTGCTAGTGGTGTTGACAGGGCTTTCCCAAAAATGTGTTCAATACGAGTAAACGCGTCTTATGCACCCTACCCCCGCTGGCACGCACAATTGATGGTTTTTATTGATGTTTCAAAACGAATGAGAAGGGGGTGGCAAAATACAGGCGGCCCATGGGCGGCAAGTAGGAAAATCCAGCCCTGACTCCGCCTTAGAATTGTTCATGAGAAAGTGCTGAATCTTCAAAAGTAAAAGCTTCCACCTGTCGCCAAAAGGCCAGTGGAGGGTCTCTTGTCTCTGCCTAAATGCTTCAAAACCTATAACCCCAAAATTACCGACAAGTCCGTACTCACTCCATAGTTATTACCGTTGACTCACTGGGCAAAAAGTTATGGGCTAAGCTGTATAGACATATCGTCCGTTCCGGGCTCAGAGGCCGAAAGTTCCGGATGCTGGAGCCGTAGCTTCGACTGCTCCGGGTGCTGCGCCCGGAACTTCGGCCTCTGAGCCCGGAACGCGGATGGTATGCCTATGTACTGCCGTGCTGAGGAAGAACGCCTTATGCCTTCTAACGTTGCCAAGTTTTCTCCGTTAAAAACCGAATTTAATGGGAAAATTGTGAAAAATTATTCTCCCAAATTTTCAGACAATTTCGTGTGCAATTTAATCTAAAATATCTGAAAATTTCAAGGAAAAATATGCAAGAATGTTGTCGAAAATACATGTTTTATCGAGTGAAATTTTGCAACTCTCGAATGTTCATACGATGTTCCTCCTTAGCACGAGAGTATAGCCCGTTTTTACGGCTTCCACGGCCGGAGTTTTCTTTTCAGTGCTTCGATACGACGAGAGATTAGTGAGGGGGTCCGACAACAGCGCGGCGTGGCGTTTGCGGTCAGTTTTGACTCGGTTATCGGGTCCGGCGCGGGTTGGCGCGAGCATGTGTGAGTGCTCGGACGAGACCGGCACACACACTCACCAACGCGGCTAATTATTATTTCGTCCTTACCAGTTACCGGTTGCGGGGTTTCGCGGCGAGGAACCGCAGAGCGCGAGCTCGGGGAGCCACGAGCCATCCGCGAGGCGCACCGCGCACGCCCCCTCCGCTCAGCGCCGCGACGCCGCATAACATATGTCCCAATCCGAGGCCCCCGTTGCCGTTTCCATGGAAACTCAAGCTCTCAGACCGTATTCGATAACGGTTCGATGTATCGTTTGGTTCAAAACAATAGAACATAACCTCAAACCAAACTGTAAGGATTTAAGTTGGAAAAGCTGAAAATGAGAAATTTCCTGACAATGTCACTTTGCATTGGCATTTGGTACTCAAAAGAATAAAAAATCTGTTACAAAAGACCCGTTCTCTCAGATTTCTGAATTTACTTTGGAGGCTATATTTACGTGTTGAACCAGTCGATATCGATACAATCTCACCTGTTTGATGTATCGAATACGATCTAGATCGTATTCGATACATCAAACGGGTGAGATTGTATCGATATCGATTGGTTCAACATGCAAACATAGCCTCAAAAGTCAATTTAGTAATCCAGGGTAACGGGTCTTCTGCATGATCAAATTTTTATTCTTTCGAGTTTCAAATGTCAATGGAAAGTGAAGTTGTTAGGAATTTTTTCATTTTCAGCTTTTCCAACCTAAATCCTAAAATTTTGGTCTGAAGTCATGTCCTATAGTTTTGAACCGAACGATACATCGAACCACTATCGAATGGGATTTATTGAAGGTGTAGATTGTATTCGATGTATCGTTTCGTTCAAAACAAAAGAACGTAACCTTCAAAACAAAATTTTAGGATTTGGTTGGAAAAGCTGAAAATGAGAAAATTCCGAACAATTGAACTTATCATTACCCTTTTGTACTCTTAAGTATCAAAAATGTATCACAAAGAAGCCGCTCCCTCAGCATACTCAATTGACTGTTGAGGGGATGTTTACATGTTGATAATGTTGAACCAGTCGATATCGATACACTCTCACTTGTTTCCTGTATCGAGGACGATCCAGTGGGGTATGTAGGGACCGGTACGGATCGGTGATAGGGGGGAGAGCAACCGATGTGGTGGCAAAAATCACGGCATCGCGGCAAAATATTGCATTTTCTTTTTTAAAAAAATACAAATTTTCCGGACTTGGGACGAGTAGAGTCCCTTTATACTGAGAGTCAAGACAACACCCCCTCATGGAGTCACAAACGGGAATAAAGATTACAGAAATTGAACGTTCTTTGTAATCTTTGATCGGCCCATTCTTAAATTCCTTTCTCCGTTCCTTCTCTCATTCCGTTTGTTCCTTGCCGAACCCGTAATTACCTGGTCCATTCCAGATTATAATCTTTGCAATCGGTGAAAATGTAATCTTTGTTCCCGTTTGTGACACTGAGAAGGCCTAAAACACGGGAACCAATCAAAAATGGATTCACATTGTCTTGACTCTCAGTATAAAGGGACTCTAGGGACGAGGAGGGCCCATTCATACCCCATACACACGCCGCCATTGCATTTTTTTTTTTAAAATCGTGCGAAAACGGGGGAAAAGCACCAATGATCGAGATAGACGATAATCAGTCTGACAGATGGGAGAATCGGCAACTCGGCGCCGAATGAGTCTTTTCGACTATTTGAGTTGTTCCGCGCTGCGAGGGCGCGAGCTCATCGCGGCTGGTCGGCATTCGGTGCGCGTCAGTGTCCCGTGAGGTCTGCGCCTGCGCTGTCGTTCGTCTCCACGTCCTCTCGCGCAGTCGCAGTCGCAGTCGCAGTCGCAGTCGCAGTCGCAGTCGCGCCGGCAGTTTTCGCTGGTCAAATATGTAGTGGGCCGTTAGTTTTGGCCCCGCGCTCTCTTCTTTTCTCCGACTCTGCCCACCTGTTTATTTTTTCGGGGCCCGCGCAGACTTCGTGTGCCTCGTGATTTATTCGCTGTTTAGTTTTGGGGCTTTTCGAGCCCATTTTCGGTTCTGAGCGATCTCCGAGACCCGATTGCGTCATTTGCTCGTGTTCTTTTTTTTATGTGCCGTTTTAACATTTTTCTGCTTTAATTTTTGAATAAATTAACGTTGTTGAATCAGTGAATTTTTTGTGTGCTCGATTGGATTTTGGAATCTCAGCGCCGATCATCGTTTGTTTGAGGTGAGTATTTCATCATGTCTTCGTGGATACAATCTAAATAAGATGACCGATTTCAATCATATGAAGAGGAAGAATGTAAAAGGCTTCTTGACTGTCTAGCAATGTATCATTTCCAGAGAATCTAGTCGTCATAGCTTAGTTCCTGACGATGCTTACCATGCGCTTAATAGATCAACTCGACGCTGTCAATGATCTATAATGCCGGCTACTAGATTCCCAGGAGCATGCGTATTCAATTTAGTAGCCACAACCACTAACCACCCAATCGCCTCAAATCTTACAGCCATGTGGTCTCGAGGTTTCAATTATTTAGCTTTGTTCATCCTTAACACTTTTGGCCGATACCACTGGAACAGTCCGTGTTTGTCGGTCAAAAATAGGTTCAAAAAAATCAGACAGGAGTATTTCATCTCGATAATTATAAACCTTGGAGTCATTTAGATTGTTAACTAACTGAATGTGGGCGTCATCGGACTTATCTGTCAGTGGGGTTCTCTGCTTTTCGTAATCCTTTTGATGCCTTAATTCCACTGTTATTATGTTGTTGCTACGCTTCATCCCATAACTGGCTGTCCGCAAGTTCCCCAGGTTACTTTAGACCCTCTTAAAAACGCGACCTCGAATCTCCAAACGATTTTTTAGTATATTTTATTGATGAGTATGTTACGATCTCTCAACAATTCTGCGAAGCGTAAAATGCATTCTTTTCCCTTTGCTCTCGGTCCGCTTCATGCTACATCAAATTAAATTAAGATTTTTTTTTTTACAAACATATATAACTAGATTCTCGAAGTTGATCTGAAGATAAAAGTTAGCCTGTTTGGAATGTCAAATTAACACTTTTATAGTTCAAAATGATTATAGCAGGTCATGTTACCTGAATTTCATTCATGCGGTGAATGTTCTCAGTGCGAACATGGGAATCATGGAGGTAGGTTGGCGGGGGTTGGGGTGTTGTGGGAGTACGCTGTTGGAACTGGTTGCTGTTTTTCACATTGTTCTCATCCACTATAAACTGCTCACATTTTTTACGCCGTTTCGCAAACATTTCCGCTCCTGTAATCCATACCATAACATTAAAGGGAAAATCCTAGTTCAAGAGGTATACATACATACATACAAAACAAAACAAAAATTGAAATTGGCCGAGGTCACCCACTAACTCAAACTGGAATACCGATATACGGTCTGCAGCATGTATCTGACCCTTCGAAACATTATTGATCGCGTACTTCACGTGACCGAGGAGGTTTCAGCACAAGACACGCGGCCTAGTTAGTATCTCCTGTCTAAAAAATTTGTACATTTCCCTACAAACTGAGCAAAAAAAAAAAAAAAAATTTCATTTAGTTCTAAATCTTTACCGCTCCCAAGTTTTTAATGATGCGATTGTATGGGTTCAGAAATGTCTTTTGCTTATGCAGTTTCCAGCAACCAGGGAAACAGCCCATGCATTATGATATTGAGCGTTCGCAGTAATTTAATCTCAAGTTTAAGGCGTTCGCGATAACTTTCTGAACAATTAACTAGGTCGTATTAATTTTCTTGAAATTCAACACTTTCGCAGTAAATTCATAAAATATTCAAGACTTTTGCAGTGATGTTTTCAAAAATGTAACACCTAAGGGGTAATTTTCTCAAAAATTCAATTCTTTCGCGCCAGTTTTATAACAATCAGTGTATTTGCACTGAAGTTACAGTATATGAGCATCCTTGTTATATGATTTAAAAATCGGCGCGTTGAGCGTTCACCTTTCGGAACTAAACCGATTTTTTAATTCGTGCAACCGAACGCTCGATTAATGTAATTGAATTTTTTCCATCAGTTCTTTCAACCTCATAAGTTCGGTTATACCTGGGTTATACTAACTAAAAGTTGAGTTTGACAAAGTGAATAGTTGGAATAATATGGAACACTAAGTTTTCCTTCATTTTTTGGATGTGCAAGTTTATCTTCGAGGGAGTCAAAATAGTTATATCGTGCGTTTCGCCCCGTCCAACTTTTCTACTCTGCGTTAAAGTCTCTGAGTCAGCCAAAAAGAGACCAGGCTCTTTTTTATTGTAGTGGATGTACGAGAAAGTTTTGCTGCTTCATAATTGGACCGCGTTTAAGCAGAAAGGGACCAAGCCACACCAGCCTTTGCCAAATTTAATCCGGTAATTTAATTTTTTACATGAAAACGGTTGAGAGGAAGATCGAGCAAATTTCAGTGAATTTTCTGCATATCACGAAGCAAATCCTTTTTTTTTCTAAAAATTTTCTAAGAAATCCGCACGAACGTTCTCTTGTAAAAACTTAAATTGCCTAGTTAAATTTGTAAATAGCTGAAGTGGCTTGGTTCTTTTCTGCTAAACGCGGTCCAATTGAATCAGTGCGAACGAAACGATTGAGGGAAGCGCCTGCGAAACTCTGGAAATACTTCAAGCATTGCACCGTCTCCCCGAGCCGCGAGCCCACGACAGAATGTCTGGGGCAGCGCGCGTAACGCAGAAATGAAGAGCATTTTGATCAAAATGAAATACCATCATTTCATACCATCCATTACTCAAGGTCGTAGCCTGCGCAATTTGTCCTCTGCCTAAGCAGTTTACGATCGATCTATTGGTCATTGGTTTGTAAACATTTTCGCACCCTTGGACGACGTATGGCTGCGTCTGAAGCCCACTTTAACACCGATGCATTTAAATTCGCTTGTTATTGACTCAAAATCAAATTACATATTCAATAACCAAAACAAGCGTCTACTCTCTAATTTATCACGGATTTCAGTTCACTGAAAAACGAGAAAATAATAGTCTTCACTCACATTATTCCATCCTCTGATCAGTTCTCTCGGTAAAGAGCGTTTTTTTTTCTTATCCGTTAGAATCTAGATTTGCCCAACATGAAATTGATCGTAATGTAAGATATAATTAAGGGAATTGGAGCATACCTTTTCCTGTAGGAGCATTGAGATGTGAGACAAGGTCAAAGGTTTGAGGACTGAGCGGCGGTGGCGAACCATGGTCAACCTCGTAGCCCTCCCGTTTCAAAGTCTCCAAGTCTCGTACCTTTCCGCGCGGGTCCATCACAAGATTCAAAATCGGCTTCTGCTGAGAACAGTATTTTTAAAATTAGCAGAAGTAGTCACGAGCGGCCTCTGAATATATGATGACCAAGCCAGCGGGTTGATTATTGAAATTGATAGACAAAGCTATAGACAAAGAAGACAAAAGAGATATGAAGGGATCCTATTGGTGGAATCGGGTGGTTGCAATGGACAAAGGGGGTAGGTACTAGACTAACTAACAGCAACCCACGAGGGACCCGGATAGTTAGTCCATTTTCTCCTTTAGTTTATAGGACCCACCCATTTCAACCAATAGGATCTCTCCATACTCCCTCGTCTTCTTTGTCTATCGCTTTGTCTATCAATTTCAAGAATCGACCGGCAGATGTAGCTTGATTTGAAGCATGACCATTTTGCTTTAATTTTAAATTATAAGCATTTTGACCCAAAAATGGAAAGGTTTTATAATAACGGACATCATGTTGGATCGAAAAACTGTCTGAACTGTCAGGTAGTTTGAAAAATAGAGGCAATTTATTTGTTCCGTTAGTTTTTTTGGTTTCTTGTTTTTGTTTCTATTTGTTTCGCTCACAACTCGCAATAAGGATCCAGATATTTTGTATTTTCATACTTTAATGAATGCTGCAGCGGTTAAACGAGAAAAAAGAAAAACTCAATTATTTTGTTTAAAATCACAAGTACCTGACGATTTGAATAATTAGGCTCTATGTTTTCATTCTGCGTTGAGTAGTAGTTTTGATATCCATTAACAGATCCTTCATGCTCCGCTCCAGCTAAAAATGAAAATGAAAAATAATGTGGTGATAATAATTAATAGAACTTTCTTACAGTAGTAATGCTACATTCCCATTTTAATAATCTGTAAAATATGCTCATTTATTAGGTAGTATAGTTTGTCAGTCTACTTGTTACTCTACTTTGGATTAATGGTTGGTACACATTATGAACTTGATACTACATTGAACCACTCAATACATTTTCTGGGAAAACCCCTCAACTTGAGTAAACTCAAAAAAAGTTGACGTATGTGACTGTCAGATAATTTAAAAAATACTTTTTTAGCTATCATGCCGTATTTTTACTTCATTAGATACCAACCGTATAAAATTATATTTCCTAGCTGCAAACCTGAAACCGTTATAGCATCACTACAGGTAGACATTTTTGAGCTATGTTTGTGCCCAAAGTGCCCTCATGTCTTTAAGCAGGGGTGCCGGTACTTAAACTATGTTGAATTTTTTGGCGCTGAGGCCTCTATTCCATGGATAGGTAATTGAGTATATGTGGAGGAGAGAAAATGGGCCTCGAAAGAGAATTAAAACAAATTGACTCATGCAAAAGAGTCAATTATCACCTATTTTACTACGAATGAAAGTAACACGTGACAAAGGTTGAAAAGTATCGATGGAAAAATTCGTGAACACGTTATCCGAAAAAGATGATTCAAAATCTCCGCTTCAGTTTAATTTTCGAAGAAAAACATTTTCACAGAATTTTCTGAACAGGATAATGGAAAACATCACAAATTACAATAAATAGTGTCTGGTTTTCCATTGAAATCAAAAGTGGTCAGGAAACTGAAGCATCACAAAATCGGTAAACGTATTTGCCAACCTACACCATCAATTTATATAGATTTTGTGTCCATTTCTGCGGTAAAAAGGATATTTAATTCGTTGAAGCAATATTTACTTGTAGAATATTTGGATTACATTTTTCAATTAGGAACCACTATTTTTGGCCCATTTTAGAAACAACATACATGCCTTTGATTTCCCTATGTAGACATGTGCTTTTACGGGTGAGCCAGAGATAACGGTTCCTTATTGCAAAATATAATCCATTTCCTCTTCAATTTTTAGATACTCTTGAATTCTGGAACGGTTTCACGATTTCATGAGTTTTTCCTCCAGAGAAAAAGGTGTAATAATTTTCTTCACGAGTTGAGGTGCGTGTTTACTGCAGCTAAGAGTCAGCCGTAGGCTCATTGCTCTAGTACCCGTGGACTCACGGGGTCAACTACTCAACATTTGACACGCGACTCGTTTTACAAGCTGTTTGCGCCTCTTCGCTGTAGAATTTCGTCTCACTAATGGTTCTACGTACCACAGATCGTTTGTCATCAGTCAGTTACAGCTTGCATGACAAGAGAAGACTCGTGGACCAACAATACTAATAGAGTAGCCAGCTCATAATTCATGTCTTAGCGGGATCCTCATTCAAAAATTCGGTGGTTCATTGACAAGCGTATTGTCTTCGCGTTTTCGAAGACGCAGAAGGATCTAGCGAAGGTTAGATTTCACTGCGTCTGCATATTCAGATGCAATCAAGCCGCTTACGAAATGCAAATATTCCATTATGGAAGTTTGAACGAGCTAAAGTTGGGCAATTTTTATATCTTGGTACTATGATTAATCGAGTTTTAAGTTCTGGTCCTTCTAAGTTGAGGTGATTTATAAGTTTCTCACGTCGCAGTGAAATTGACGGGTGTTACTGGACCTCATTTGCGGTGGCCTATTCCGAAATTTTTCGGGTTCTTCGCTTGTCTAAAAATTCTAAGGAAGTACATTTTTTTTTCTTTCGTGATCGGTATTCTATCAAATTGCACGAAAGTTTTGATAGTAAAAAAATGAGCCCTAAAAATTTGACTGTGATTATTACTGGAAAAATCCAAGCAGCCTATTTTGTCTCAAAAATTTTTGACAAAAATTCACCGGTGTCAGTGGTAGAAAGGCAAGTATGAAATCCACAAAAATTGTTGTTTGCACACATCAGTATGCCGTACAAGACCTCTTTTCAATAGGTTCGGTTATGACCATTTCATACTTACTTTCTTGGCACCGTTAGGTTGTGCAGATAACTATCGCACGTTTTATGTTTTACACATTTTCTTTGTTCTCGCATTTTGATTGGCGATGTTTCAGTCGCAGGCAAGGCATGCCTGACTGTCCGGATAATACTGAATTGTTTATTTCGGTCGTGCCGTCGAGGTGTCATTCAAAATGATGGGAGATTATTATTTGAAACGAGTTTGTTTTGGCAATTTTCCTAGATCGTCCCAGTAGGAGGACTTTAGATCCAGGCCTAACAGCAAATGTATTACGATGCTATAGGGAGTGATTTGGAATCGTAAGAATACCGTGTTTAACTTTCGAACTAGCCCATATTGGCTGCTCCGGGCAATATATTTTGCTGGTCGCTCAAAAGCTACAATATGGTAAAGACAGCGATGAATTTATTTTCGGTATTCGGTATGGACAGCGTTAATTTACCGTTTGATCGATGCATGCGCTATCCTATCACTTAAAGCGTGTAAGAAGACGTGCTGAAGACGACCTTTTATCACAAAAATAGAGTTCACTCAAAATATTTCACCATTGAAGTGAAACGACACACTTTACAATCGTTAAAAGGGCGATGCAAGCGAAAACGCCTTCAAGTTCCCGATTATGCAACCCAGACATCCATGAAGAACGAATAGTTGTATTCAGGCGCCGTTAAAATTCATCACATTAATGCATCGTCGGTTTGGGGGTCGGTCGGTATAGGTCAGTCAGTTTCAATAACTCAGTATGTCATGCTCTATTACCGTAATTGTGAAAAACATATTACATTTTTCTATCCTCTGCGTTGTATTCCCTTTTTTTCTGTGTGTTGAATTTTTGCGTTGAATTCTTTGGAACAAATCTACACTTTTAAAAGATAAAAATACAGGAGTTCAATGGTCGCAGCGTAATCCTTCGCTTGTGCAAAACACGTACCTTTGAAGCATTCAAACGTTCACCCCTTCTTTCTGTATTCACACGCTTTAAAGGATTTCCATCAAGAGAGGTATAGAAAATTGCTAGGAGCGGTCATTTCCTCTGACGCACGGGCGCATCTCAATTTCCACGTGATCCTTGTTTTATATATAAACCAATTTTTTCTGTGATTCATGTGGAAATCTAGATACGTCCTTACGTCAGAGGGACCATGATTTTCGCAGTCGAAGACCGTCTGGTTATTTCGATGTCTTTGTCTTTGTACCTTCAAAACTTCCATCGAACGAAAGAAAAGGAGAGAACATAGAAACCGAATGAAGGAAACGAGGAAAGGATCGAAGTTGAGAGGAATAAAAAGAATAAGAGAAGCAAAGAGATGACAAAACAGGAATAGAGATAGATAATTTCTGTCATATTACGTAAATTAAACAAAACGTTATCTCTGTCCCGTCTAACGTCGCAACTAACGTTGAAACACTTGGATGCAACTATTCGTGTTCTACAGATGCCCGTGTTGCATATGCAAAAAATTGAAGGCGCTTCCTTTTGTCATGCAACTACTCGTGTTCTACGAATGTCCGTGTTGCATATGCAAAAATTGAAGGGGCTTCCTTTTTTAATGCCCTCTACCATGCTTGTCAAAGCAATTTCCCGATTCAAGAAATTTTTCAGTTGAAATGGTGATTAACACAAAGAAAATGAGGCTTGAATGTGTAGGCATACCTCCGTGGACCCACTTAACGGACCGTTTTTTTCGGTTGACGTACATGGACTGTCCTTTGCTCTGCTGGTTGCTGATGTCGGACAGTGAGTGAGAGATCCGCCTGGCTAACTCTACCTGCTCATCCATCGTCGGATGATGCGGAGAGTAGAAACTGCTCGACGAGTACATTCGCCCTGAATCAGAATATGAAAATTAGGCCTTAAAATATGAAAGAATATACGAAAGCCAAAATATGAAATTTAAATTATCATTAGGCCTCGTCTAAACGAGCGCGGTTCGCGGAACTTTCGGCGAACTTGTTTCAAAAACTTATCACAACTTAGCTATAACTTGTCCCGCGAAACCTTAGCTCGTGCGGAACTAATTCGCACAATCTGCGCTCGTGCGGATAAGGCCTTAGGGATAAAAAATGACCACGACGAAAATGACGTTTATTTCACAAAATTCTTAAATCTCGAGGACTTCACAAGGAATTCTCACGGTCAAATCTTTACAGACATTTGGGGATACACTGAGAAATTGCCACACCTTAATGAGAATTTGCATAGTGAAACGTGCAATTTTCAGCGAATTTTTTTTAAAGAAGTCTCTGATGATCTGAAAGGTTTCATCGGGTAATAGGAAATTAGAATTGATGCGCAGACGTTTTCAATGTGTATGCATATTACAACCACAATCTGATAGAGAAAGGACATCCTCTGAGAATTATGACGGCAAATCCCCCAAAAATGACTAAAAACTAAGTTTATAATAGTTTAATTGCTCATACATGGGGGATAATCTGATTCATCGGGATTACGTATTATTAGAACACAGTTAATCAGTAATATGTGCTTTGTCCAAAAGTTTGCGCTCACAGTCAGAATTTTTCACACGGTTAGAAACTGTGTGATTGACCAAAACATTTATGAATAATACTGTTGAGAATCATTAAGCAGGAAACAGGCCCTTGATGAGAAAATTGTTGAGAGAGCGTACGATGGGCTGACAGACAGCGGTCTTACTTTGTCTGGACGGCGTGACCTCGCCCGAGTCAGATGCGGGGGTGAACAGCTTCTCCAGGTCAATGGGTCGCGGGTCCAAACCATCATTTGTGTTGATTTTTTGACCGCTCGCTTCCTGTAACACACCGGAAACCACAAAACAAATTATTTAATCCAGTTTCTCATAACAATGAAAATCTAAAATTCATTTTAGAATTTGTAGATCTGATAAAAAGGAAAAATACATACATGAAAGGAAAAATCATTTAATTATGTAAAAGGGAAAAATCATTTTGATGAAAAAAAGCATATATTGCATATAGGTAAAATACAACAAATATTCTCAACAAAAATTCAAATACATATATTTGATTTTGAATGCGTTCTCAGCAGTTAGCAGCTTTCCAAGCTCTGAATCGTGTATCATCGTCAGTGTTCTCAAAAATTCAAATATTTTTCTTTTGTTTGTTTTTGAGGTTTTTGTTTCAACTATGATTGAGTTTCAACATGCAAATGAATGACATCAATCAATAATCTATAGGATAAATTAGGTGAGACGATTCCGCGTTGATTTTCGCTTTTTGCAGGAACTTTTTATATGATATTGGGATGGCTCATCATTGTTTATACTAAAATTTATTATTGGCAATGATCCGAAGGTCAAAACAAATGAAAGTATTATAAGAATTGCAGATATGAAAATATTTTACATATTTTATTCCAGCTTCGGCATATATTGGGATTATTTACACAATTTGAAAAAAAAACTAAAAATGATCAGTATTTCAAATTCTTTAAATTTTTTCTTTTTAAATCACAATCGAAGTGTTCTGTAACAACCGAAGGAACAAACAAGTAATAAGCACTTATTTTACGTTGACCCTTGAAATACGCAATATTTGGCTTCTTCAAATTGTTCCCTGCACACCTCTAGGTATTAAGTTTGCCAAACTTATTTGTGGTCATACGTGGCGAACAATGGGAGAGGCGTGGGTGACTTACATCATTACAGTAGAATAAGACGTCTCGTGAATTCCTAATGAGGGCTTCACTCACTTTCGAGGTGCACAACGACCACAAATGGCTAGACGTCTAAATAATTACAGTCCTGGAATTAAAACCGTTAGAATATCATCCCTAGCTGCCTGTTTTCATCCAGACAAAAATATACAGCTTTATCTTTGAAACCTCTCCGAGCTAAGTCCGTTCAAGTGGTTTGCAATACCAAAGACTTCTATTAGTCTGGCATTATCGGCGAGAACGCGCTGATGTAAGTAATTTTGGGTATAATTGACTTTTAGCTAACCGCACATAAATGTGCAAAATATTAGAACCTACTCAAAAGTACTTTGCTCAAAGTACAAGGAATCCCCACGAATTGGTAACTTGCACTCCTATGAATAAAATTCCTATAATTTTGAAGCTTTTTGGTGTCCTCGGATTTTGTCCTCGGAATTTGCTTAATCAGCTCCGGGGCTGAAAAAAGTTATTTCAGTTGGGCTAAAAGTTGTATATGAGGTCATATTTGGCAAATATTTTAAAATAATTATTGTCACCAAACGGAACGTTGGATGAAGAAGTATGATATTAGCCATTTGGTGGATACGAAACAGAGCGCAGTCCGAACAAGCGAGACGACATAAATAGAGCTAAAGCTTGCGGAAGCAAATAATGACGTAAGTTCCAAAAACCAACGAGCCCTATATTCTTTTGGACTAGGAGCAATAACACTCACTTGTCTTCTGCTCTTAGGTCACCATTGACCTCATCCTCAGTTCCGCTTCCAAACATTTGAGTCGAAAGTATTACGATTAAAACAACGATATTGCACGGTTCAGTCTCATTGGATTCAATTTCTGATCCAACCTCATCCGCGTTGATTGCATCCAATAAAGTTGATTATGCCGTCGTATCGAACGTTGCTCGATGGAAAAAGGCTGCGTGTAAATTGGGCTTTATGGTGCTCACCGACTGCTCACCGTTCGAAACTCGTTACGAAATCCGTAAATGCCTCCTCACGTAGTCGGCTGTATTGACGACGATACAAGGAAAGAGGCATGATTATTTCAACACCTTCAGAACACATACACGATCGCTAACCGAAATGAGATCTTCGGCAACGTCTCTCTCGAAGGTCAGCTATTCTAGCTTTAAGGCTAGAAAGCTCCTCCAAATTCACAGATTTTTAACAGACAGGATTTTTCTTTGGACCTTATGTTCCATGCATCATAACACGATACCACGACTCAATTGATTTTAAAATTGGCGCAAACCGCAAGCGCAAAGCCGCTCCGCAAAGCGGAAATAACAGGGAGCGGAGCACCCGGGTTTGTCCGCGTAGTGGCCAGCGGGCTGATTATTGAAAATGATATACAAATTGACAGACAAAGAAGAAGAAAGGGATATAAAGCGAACCTATTGATGAGTGGTTGCAATGGACAAACTAGGTAGACAATAGACAAACTAAGAGCAACCCCAAAGAGGCCCAATAGTTTTAGTCCATCGTTTTTCCCCTTAGTGGCCCTTAGTGTATAACAACCACCCTATTCAACCAATAGGATCGCTCCACACTGGAAAAAAACACATTGGATCTAGAGCCCAGACTCTTAAAAAAATCGACAAGAAAAAATACTCTTGATTCAATCGGATTTTTGCCTAAATCAAGAACCAATCCTCTTAATTTGAGCGGATTTCCTTTTGATTTAAGCTTAAATCTGATTGAATCAAGTGTATTTTTTCTTTTCAATGTTTTCAAGAGTCTGGACTCTAGATCCAATATGTTTTTTTTTCAGTACATGTTCCGTATGTCATCTTTATCCATCGATTTTTCTATATCAATTCCTATAATCAGCCCGCATGAAGCGCACTCCCAATTAATCCGTATCGACTAAATCGATCTCTGTTGTAATGGAGAATCCCTACAATGACGTCATTCGCGAGACAGTCGATGATTTAATGGCGAATCCCTTGCGTGACGTCACAACTAACAAAGCCTATAATCCGAAAGAAGAGCGCAGGCCTGGGTCGGGATAATTTGGGGAGCGCAGCGGGCGGACGGACGGGCGTCGTCGGGCGATATTAGCATATTGAGGACAGAATTGGACCTTGACGCTTGAACGCGTCGCGACGCTGGTGGCGCTTCGGACGCCACCGCCACCGCCGCGCCGGGCCGCTGTCGAAATCCTGCCGCCTTTCCTGCTGGCGCGCCTTCGCTCGGGTCGCTGCCGCGTCTTCGGCCTGGCATGTATCACTGCCATGTTACGGAAGAATCGTAAGGGCGTAAATGCATTCTGGGATGAGCCTCGAAACGAGTAAGAGTATGTGCTAACCGAGGTTCATACAGAAATACAGATCAGTGCCGCATCCACGGGAGCATTCCCAGCTGCGGAAGAGGAGAGAACCCGAGTGAGTCACCGCTGCGGCAAGCCAACAAGGCAGCTGCATCGCTGACCGCCAAACGAGGGGGGGGGGGGGGGGGGGTTAGTGGTGGTGTCGCGGTCCTTTGCAAAAGTCGTCGAGGCACGCGGGAAAGAAGAGAGAGAAAATTTCGCACTGAGGCGATTCGCCTTGGGCTTCGACTGAGGTCGGGCTAGCGTGAATTAGGTCGTATCGATTGGGTTAAAAATTTCGTTAATTTTGACTTTTTCGAAAAAAGAGATGGAGTAATCTGGTTACAAGTATTTCGCATTCAAAACGTCAGAAATTTTGCAGTGATACTTCAGTAAGAGAAAGATTTCAACTGACAAATCATCCTTTGGCAGATGGGGTGATTTCCTCGGGCTGGCGTGAATTAGGTCGTATCGATTGGGTTAAAATTTTCGTTAATTTTGACTTTAAAAGAAAAAAAGAAAAAATTTAAATAAGATAAACGCAATAGTGTATTTCCTTCGGAAAATACACTAAAAGTTCAGAGGAATGCTAATATCGATCAACCTTCAAGACTGAGACATTATGGTAACTTTTTGACAGGATCACGAAAATTCGAAGCCAGCCCGGTAATCTTTCTCCGGCTAGGAACCAATAAGGTACTCGATACATTGTATTGAGGGGGGGGGGGTCGTAACGACTACAAAGGTTGTATACTACGTATACGCGCCGAAAAACCCCGCGCACGAACTTTGAGAAGCAGTATACTAAACATAATGGGGAAAAAAGAGATGGAGGAATCTGGTTACAAGTATTTCGCATTCGAAACGTCAGAAATTTTGCAGTGATGCTTCAGTAAGAGAAAGATTTCAACTGACAAATCATCCTTTGGCGCACACAAATCACCTATTCCCATAGAAGGAAATTTTTCAGGATTTGATTTGTTAACGGTGCTCACTGCTTACACCTGTCCGAGAACAAGGAGGAATCATTCAGTGGTTTTGTGAGCAATTGGGGACTATAATTTTCGGCTCGTCCGTAATAACACTTATGCACGTTGGGAAACTAATGGTACATACGTCGTTTCTTAACTGAGCCAGGGATTACAGTTCCTGCTTGCAAAATGAAGTTCAGTTGATAAATAGTTTCTCAATTTGCTGCCTGTTGGCTACATTGAATCCAAACACTTTACTCCTTCCACGAAAGAGGTAGTAGTTGGAATATGATACTTCACTCAGGCCGAGCTCTATTCGATCAAAATAGACATGACACGTGTTGTGCAGTTTGTAAAATAACACAAATCTCGACATTACACCGATGCTTGACCACATGGACGAAGATCCGAACCCATAAGCTATGCAAAACCGCTGAATCCTCACTGATCTATGCACGAGGTTATGTGCTTTCTGCTCGCAAGCATTTGGCCACCATCCAACAATCATCGCTGTAGGGAACCGGTTGCCCAGCCGCACAATCGTTCTAAATCATCGATGATCGTATTCGTAGATGAAAAATATGTTATTTGATCGCAAGTTCATATCGCTGGTAAAATGTAACCTACTGATTCCGATTCGTATTTTTTAAAATTCGAACTGAATTTTGACATTTATTCCATGAGAAAATTCGTTTATTCTCGAGTTTCAATGAGTGGAGAGCCTCTCTGGAGAGATAATGGGCTTTTGTCAACAATTTCTCACTCATGGAGCCTTGGGGGTCTCAAAATAGTGACTACTTTGAATTATAGTACTTATATAGGAAAAGTGCGGACATATCGGTAATTTTGAGGTTAGGTCATGGAGCTTTTAGGGCCAAAAAGGTAGCCAACCTATGAATTCAAATCTTTCACAGTGATTTATTACTACAATTTTAGCCCGTCGTTTGTAAAGCACACATGTGACTTAATTTTTAGATAAAACTTATTTTTGCGGAAAAGTGCTCGTTTAGGATCATTCTCGGCCATCTTGGTTTGATTTGAATCGAAATATCGGCAGTGACATTTGTTGTATCAAAAGGTTGACTGCCTTTTTCAGCCCTGAGCTCCATATTCCGACATACCCTCTCTATGTAGGTACTTTCAATGAGGAGGGAATTGGTGCCTACCTGTTACGTCTTACTGTACCCGTTAGGATTCGCAAGTTCGTACTTTTGAAGCTTGTATCCTAATCATGTAAATTTTTTATCAAAAATATAATCTAAAAAAATTTACTTCAATTTTTTTCCAGAGAGAGAGGCCATTACATGATCGCAGAAACTCTCCAAAACACCTCACCAAGCGATGGACGCATAACTCGCTGTTTCGGTGAGTAATATTACCATACATTTTTCTCAGCGTATAATATGAATTCAAGTTTCGAAAGATCCCGAGCCCCTGGGCGTCGTGGCCAGTGGCGTGGCGTGAATGATCGATTATCGATATTTCCCCATTTGAATCCGCAGTAAATAATCGATTATTGAGGTGTTCGCTGCGAACACCCTGTTAATCGATCCTTTACCATAGGTTTCAATGGCAGATCAATCGATATATCGCAAAGCACGCCACGCCACTGGTCGCGGCGCTTCGCGTCGTCGGCTCGGATCAGATAAAAATTACCGTGAAAGAGACAGCAGCGCCCTCTGCCGCGCACGTCCGCCGTCGGAGCGCTTTTGATGGACGCTGATAACCAGCAGGTAGCTCCAGACCTCTGTGCCAGGTAAGAACCACCCAACTCGAGTGAGATCCCGGATGTCAGTGCGTGGTTTTGGCCTAGCATGACGGGAGTAATAATGATGTTGGGCCGGAGCTGCAAGTCCCCGCTCGCCGCGTCATATCGGCGACGAGTATGAAAAAAATTGCACAAAATAGTGGTACGCGTCGTGATTATTTACGCTCCATGCTGAGGATCGTTGGGTTGCATGAGTATAGTGTCATGACTTCATAATTAGAGCCGCTTCCGTGGATGCTGGACGACTGAAATGGTATTATCAGACTGTGGTGTAGTGGTTGTAGCGCTGGCCCTGTGGCTAAGAGATCCTGGGATCGATTCCCGGCCAGCGGGCTGATTGATGAAACTAGTAGACAAAGCTATAGACAAAGATGACAAAAAGGATATGGAGGGATCCTATCGGTGAAAGCAGGTGGTTGCGATAGACAAGGAAGGTAAGTAGCAGACTAAACGGCAACGCACGTGGGATCCTTAATATTAGTCACTCAGTTATTTTCTCCCTTGCTCTATAAGAACCACCCATTTCAACCAATAGGATGGATCCATACTCCTTATGTGTTCTTTTTTTATCAATTTCAACAATCAGCCCGCAGAGGACCTGAATTTGATGATTTCAGGCAATGCTCACCTAGGGCTGAGGTAATAAGCATTGCCCCATGGGCTATTTGAAAATTGGTAAAAAAAAAAAAAAAAAAAGGATACTCCAATCAAATCCGGTGACACCGAATTTTTTCTGTTTGGAGGAATTATGCTGCCGCCTTGCGCATAACTGAAGAGACAGAATATACCTTGTCACACTAGGCAAGGGATTGTTCATACATTGATAAAAATTTGGGAGTGAAATTCTGTGCCCAAGTGTATATAGTACCTAGAAACTCCGAGTGATATAAAGAGGAGGTGAAATTAGCACCGTAAGTGTATGAAAATCCACGAAAAGAGTAGATAGTGCACGTAATTCCGTAACCACTGTCCTCCTATTGTCGGGAGGGTGGACAGTGCTTCTACTTATATCAAATTTTCTTATAGGGGGGAGGGGTTGCCCCATTTAATGAGAGTAGTAAAAAAAATGTTATGCTTTATGAAGATCACCATTATAGGTAGACATTTCCAACTTTCTGTCCATATAGTAGTAGGTGGCATTGTGATAAAAAACATGCAAATGCATAAGAGTGTGAGGCTCATTTCCTTTTGGCGGTACCTTTCCAGTAAATTCCACCAACAATGGATTAAAATTTAATGCCAGCTATTAAATGTCTTGTTCCTCCTGGTCCCAGCAGTATATCCGGGTATCGTTAATCTGTAATCCTTTATCTTGCATCAAAAAACGCTTTCTCCGTGAATAGATTCCAGCAAGAAAGAAGCTCTGAAACTATGATGAATAAAGTTAGATGAAACGACGACAGCTGATCGAGAGTCGGTCAGCAAGGATGCGGCTTTTTGCGAGCGATCGACGGGCAAATGAGCGAAAACGTATGTATTTACATGTAAATTGGCGAGGGAAGCGAATTGGCCAAGGCGGGACGGTTATTCAGTATCTTTTACGAGTGTTATGACTTTGTGATATCACCGAATCCTTAATTCAGTTGCGCTGCGATGTTGCCGCAGCTCCGTCCGATTCGTGTCAACCCCCAGGTTAAACGGGAAACCGGTCTTCGATGATAATTAAGTGCGGCTGATCAAGATCCTGTGCAAATCATGCCACGAATTTTGATACTCATTCCCCGCGCGACTGTTAAAAAAAGAAAAGAATGAATGGCGAACTTTCCGAAAATACCAGTTCTGTCGAGACCGCAAAACTATGAGATTTTTTGGAATCAACAAATTTTCTTTCATGATTTTACAAATCATCTGTGCAAATACAAATAATTCAAGGTTGTTTTAGTTTGCTACTTTTACAGTATAAGCCTCTATCTCGCAACATGCCTGCTCTTAGTTTGATGATTTTTTAGGTATTTTTAATAAATCGGAAATCCATTATACTCACATCCGAAAAGCTATAAATATTCATCTCAATTCTACATTTTTAGAGTCAATACTTCGTTCAAATAAGCCTGTATGAACCACATACATTTTTTTTACATACATACATGAAAGTCGCTTTCATAGCGCTCTTTTGGCTCTCTGCAACACCCAGCCGCCAAAGTCCCCTATCCTCCCAAAGCCCTTCAGGGCAAATTTTTTCCAGGCGGAAAATTCGAACTTGGTTTGTGACATTCCAAACTTCCTATCATACCTCTTATTTGTGGGATGACAATTATGGTCTGCTTTATTTTGCCCGTTTAAGAATATTCTCCAAAAATTGTACACTGGAAAAAAAAAAAAAAAAAAAAAAAAAAAAAAAACTGGGGGAAAAAACACACATTGGATCTAGAGTCCAGACTCTTGAAAACATTGAAAAGGAAAAATACTCTTGATTCAATCGGATTTTTGCTTGAATCAAACGAAATCCGCTTAAATTAAGAGGCTTGGTTCTTGATTTAAGCTAGATTCTGATTGAATCAAGAGTATTTTTTTTTGTCGATGTTTTTAAGAGTCTGGACTCTAGATCCGATGTGTTTTTTTTCCAGTGTATACAAATTTGTATCAGGCCCAGAGAACAAAATAAAAGCAGAAATTTTGAAACACAGCGACCAAGATCTATGTTTTTCTAGTTTGTTTCACCGTTGGACATGAAGTAGTACCGCGGAACCCATCCTCAGCATTGATTCACGAGAAGGCATTTGTCTGACGAAGGGTTCGACAGGTGGTTCTCGATTTGATTCCACATCCCGATCGTTCGGATTGATTTCACGGTGGCTCGCTTCGCTGGGAGTTATGCATTAATTTATGAGCTTTTCGGAGAGATCTGGTCGCAGCGAATATAATTCCACATCGCGATGCATCGGAGCTTGCGTCGGCGTCCAAGTTGCCTAAAGCTAGAGCTCCATCCGCGGCACGGGTGCATTGCCAACTTGCCGGGATAAAAATGCACCGGCCAAGGCTTCGTCTTAATGGAGCTCCCAGGGAAACAACGGATCAAAATTCAGAAAAGAAATCAGCCTCCGAGATTATCGCCAACATAAAAGTTATATGATCGCACGTAAGTGAGGATTTCAATGCGACTCTTCGATCGCTCATCAAACGGAAGGTGAAATACATAAGGCGCTGGCATTTTAAATGCGACGATATGGTCCCCTTCAGCGAGGATTTTGATGTCCGTTCGATATGTGACATCATGCTCCTCGTAAAACCTTCAAGTACGGTCCAACTATAAAATGTATTAAGGAGCGTTATGAAGTGCGAAACTTTCTGCCGTTCTGCGCTTCTGGTCAGTGTTTTCAAACAGCTTTGATCATTTTTTTTTACCCTACCTGATACGCCTTTATGGGTAAATCATTCTCAGAAAGGAATGAAATTGAAGAGCAAAACCATAGTCATGTTTGGGAGCAGATGTTGTATTTGATTGGCATTATCACATTTTCGAATAATATATTAACATTATTTGCAATATTTTGAAATTAGGGACGGCCCTTCAAATTATTGTACTGCGACGAAGGAGTTCTTTTACAGCTTTCTAATTTTCTACTGTAGTTGTAGCCTCAATTGAATAAATTTCTCGTAAAATTATTTTTCTTATCGATCGAAATTCTTCAACATCTTTCAGACAGGTTCATCATCATCAGGTCTCTTTATCTTCTTCATCTCTCATCAATCAGATCTGTCGAAGTTCGGATACCTACCTTTGATTGAACATGTCAGTTGCGCTGATCACATAATCGTGTTTTGATGCTTGGTTCTTGTAGATTTGTTGAAAATAAAAATAATTGTCTATACAGCAACTCCCTACGTTTAGTATTAATCGAGATATAGCGGATAGTGGATGTCGTCATAAATCGAATTTTTCAAAGCGCGATATCGAAGTTAATATTGAACGTTTGAAGTTGCTGATAGGACGGATCTTATTATTTTTAGCAAATCTACGAAAATTAATCATCAAAACACGATTCTGTGACCAGCAAATTAACCCATTAAAAGTAAATCCTAATCGTTCATAAGACACTTTGCTGAATCCGGAATTGACCGCATGAAAGACCTGAGATGTTGAAATTTTTACCAAAAATTGAGACTTTTCTATTTATATTAACGGATTAATTTAATTATTTTCAAATATGTCTTGTTCTTATACATGTTGTCTCTCAAAAATAAAGCGCACTGAAATTGAATCTTGTAGGATTTTGCCCGAATTTTGGTTGAATGCAATGAGAATTGACAAAAATGTCAACTGCTTGATTGAGCAACGTTTCGCTCGAAAAAAAAACTAGAAAAATAGCAGACTTAATATCGGAGCCAAATTTTTCAATTAATCTAGCAACTCTGATTAATTTGTATTACTAATCAATGGTCGCATGCGTTGGTATAGGTCATAATCTTCATTGAATGGGAGGGAACCCGAGAAGAATGAAATGTCAGTCGAGGAAGGAGTTCCCTCAACGCGCGAACGCCGATGAGTTGAGGTCACTGCTGTTGCGAAACGATATTTAATTTCCGCCGAGCGCAAATTGGCGAATTACATTTGCAATTCTCACGCATGCGTGGTAACGCTAGAATCAGCCCGGAA